CGNAGGAAATACGGACAAAGTGCACACACACAGAAGTTGGCTTTTGGCAGGAAGCCTTCATTCACTAATGCATTTTATACAAAGCTATTCGCATTTTCAAAACGATTCGAAATCAATGGGATTTCGTAGTTATCATTCCACTTTCAACGCCGCGTGAAATGCCAGTAACTCTAGCGGATGTTTTATGATTTTGTTGATCAAAGCTTTAAATGGCATAGTGGGTAGAGCCTCAAGTCCAACCACCGTCTTAAATGGGATAGTTTGATTTCTCTCCACAAAACATGTTATTGATCGTCATAGTATGATTATTTAACTTTAAGGTTAATTTCAAGGAAGAGTCATAACTGAAGAGAATCTTTCCATAATGAAATTAATTCACCTAAATATATTTTCACTTGTATTGGGAATGGACTTAACAGTGATAAAGAGTCAAATGTGCGCAGACCCAAGGCGATTTAGTGATGTCATTCAAAATGGACAAGAAAGAAATGGAGTAGTGGTCAAAACCATCAATAAGGTTGAACTTGTACAGTGTTGGAAAATTTGTGTACAATATTCTTTGTGTACATCAATTAATTTTATGAACAGTAAATGTACATTACTGACGGGAGAGAATCTTAAAGTATTGTCTAAAGCTGGGTCTATCACTTCAAAGAAGAAAAATTGGCCGATCGAGAGGATAGCTGGAAACTGTTACAATCACAATTGTCCCAATAATGCTAGGTGCATTGATACATCGGAAGGGTTTTCTTGCGAAATAATGAGATGTGTAGATCCTCTTGCTGATAATAGCCTTTTCAGACACTATGGAACTTGGACTGAAAATGATTCTATAGCGATACCATGTGACCAACGGGATATGTGTGCGAAACTTTTTACATGTCAAGAGAATGGATTCTGGTCAAAGGTTACTTATATCAAAGGTAAGAAACATTAAGGGAGTCTTTTCACGACTTTTCTGGACAAGCGACATTCCATTGAATTGAGCAAAGCGCTAGAGCACAATGCACCGTCTTAAATTGTCCTGCGTTCCGTTCCATCGCCTGAATGAGTCACTTTGTTTTAACATTTCTAAACTTGTAGGCCTACTCATGGCGTGACAAAATGTGTGAAAACTATTTCACAAATGTAGACAACTGAACGCAAGATACTAAACCAAGACGTATAACACAGACAAGGGTTATCCTAAGGATAGACTGATACTTGTCTTGTCAACAAATGAAATTAAATGAAGTATCAATTAGGTACTGTGACGAAAGTATTTCAATGATTTGGTTCCCTGGTGGATTTGGTCTGTAAACCAAGGATAACAATGCTTTTTTTGCAGGAAGGCAATCTCTACCATGCCGGGATGAAAGTGAATGGACTGATTGGTTTGATAGAGATAATCCAAGCGGTTCAGGTGACCATGAGTCGATTCAGTTATTAGTACAAGAAACAAATGGATCATTATGCACAAACCCATCATCACTTGATGTACAATTATTAAATGGTTCAAATTATCATGTTGGTGGCAATGTTCTCATCCTGTCGCCGTCAAGAGGCTTTAAATGTGTTAACAAGCACCAGTCTATTGGAATATTATGTAAAGATTATGAGGTCAGATTTTGTTGTAAGGTGCCATTCCAAAATTGATTCTGGACGTAGTAACCAGGCACAGAAGATTCAACCTGTTTTCCTTTTAAAACAACATCCTTTTTTATTTCATCACAAAACAAACACCTTGTATCATACACTTTACCTTGATATTCATATAATAAGTAATTCATAAAAAAAATGATTGTTGTACACATTTTGTAGCAGGATTATGTGACAGAGACAAGTATCTAAATGTTGAAAATGTATTTTATATTTTCGATATTTACACCATCATCTTGAATAATTTCGTGATTTGGTTTTTTAATTTACCTAAACATGTTTTTCTAGAACCTATAAGAAATAATTTACATGTGATTTGAAGTTAAAATGTTTTTCCTTTTTTTGAAAGTCCGACTTATTAAGTCGACGTAGTGATTTAAAAATTGTTGTGAACTACATTCATGTGTTCTGTTATTTCCTTGTTCGAACATATTATTATAAGGGGAATTTTTCTATAGATAAATCTTTTCAACACCCAGTACAGTTCATACTTCTCTCTCTGGCTTATGTGCTATACTATCACACTGAAGTAGTTTGAAAAATTAAACAGCAGTGAGAGAACCGTTAGTCGAATTTCAAGTTAAAAAGTAATATTATGGCTGTCTTTTGAACCCCTGTAAATCAGACAAATTAAAATACTATTCCAGTAAAGATAAAATATAATCAAAAAAAGCTTCAGATCTGTAATTTGAATTTGTTTAAAAAATAGTTTATGTGTGTGTATCAGGCTACCGCTTCCTTTTACGTGTCTTAAGTTTCTATTCGTTGATTTATTTGCTGTATCTGTGCATTCTTCGTTTTCGTTCCTCACGTAAGCTACCAATTACGCCGTTACCAAAAGATTTTGTGTAAAGATCTCAACACTCAAATCCCGTGTAAAGGGACAGAATTCCAGAATGAACAGCTATACATAAAGACCTCTATTGTGACATGCTTATTTAAAAGAGCGTGCTGCAATCATCTTAACATCATATTTTAATTGGCTACACATCACTAATTTCGATTAGAACATCTTGATGTACCGCGTAGATTGTTTATAATGACAAGGAAAATATCTATGAACATCGTTCTTATACCCCCACATGGAGAAGTGGTCGTACTATTTACTGTCGACCGTGTCCGTATCCGGGGTCTGTTGTCCAGTTTTTATCCTATTTCGATGAATCTTCCTATGTAAAGTAACAACTTCTGGACTTAACTGCTGCTAGTTTCCCTGGAATATTAAACGGATATCGCCATTTGGAAATATAATAGTTCCGTTTGTTTCCGTTCAAATGACGCAATATCTATTTTTAGTAAATGAAATATGTCAGAGCTACACGCAGGTACCAGATTCTGGTAAAAAAAATTATACCTCTTATAGTATCTTAATGTATTCAGATACTACAGTATAAGAGATATGGTTTCTTTTCACCAGAATCTCTGGTGCCTGTCGAGCTACAGTTACAAAGTATGCCACCGAGTTTATGAATGTAATAAATTTATTGAATGGTTATACTGCATAGTTTATATTTTACATATACCATAACAACCAATAATTATTCATGATATTTCCAAATATTAACTGAAATAATTTGTGAGAATTGGTATTTTGTTTCTGTAGTGAATGAGTCGTTTGTCTGGATGGCAGAGACCAAGTCGCCAAAGACGCAGTCACTCGAAATTTCAACGATATACGATCAACATGAAACTTTAAAGGGTGGTCAACCGGTCGCATGCTTAATAATGTTTAAGTGGGCTTACTTAAACGTGATCAACATATATTATACACATCAACTTCCAACAAAATCAATAAAGAACTATGGAAATTAGAGACTTTGGACTTTCCGAGGAACTGCGGCCATACAGAGAAAAGGGCGTTGTGGGGGCCGTCGTAGACCAAGTGACGCACCAACACATCATCGACGTATCAGCATAGTTAATGCTAAGACCAAACGTACCGGTAAAATATTTAATCAAGAAAATGTTCACAAACACAGTTCAGTACAATCAATATATGTTTTCATAATACTCATTTCAGCAATATACATTGTTCTTCAACATATTTCAGTATGTAGGCCTATTATGTGTTCTTATTAACACATGTCAACTCAATAAGTATCGACGTAACAACGAAAGGAGTACCACCAAAGGGTCATTCTAAAGTTATCGACGTAACAACGAACATAGTACCACCAAAGGGTCATTCCAGCATATTAGGAAGTTTCAGCATACATAAACCATATCCCATTTACTAATAAACAAGTATCCACATAATTACATAGTTCCCTAAGGAATACACATTCAATGGTTGAACATAAGTTGAATGTCTTAACTTGAACTGAATGTCCTTACTTGAATTGAATGGTTTTGCTACAAAATATAAAAATGACAATCATAAGACACAACTCACAATTATAAGAATCCACAGGCATTCGTAGCAAAATACAGAATCTGAACTAACATATACCAATTTGCAAAATGTCAACACTAATAGTCAGTCTTAACTTCTGGCAACAATATACACATGATAACATAATGAAATTGTAACCTTATCTTAAAATTAATAGTTCTTACAGACAACTTAGACTTCAGAAATTCAAGCAATGCACGTGGTAATGAAACGGATGCCTTTGGACTACTGTCAGTAAAATTGAAAATTCCTTTGAAGTACATTTGAGAGCAAATTCTCAATAATTACACATGGCATCCAACAGAAAATGTCTACAGAACATAATTAAAGAATTCCTTATTAGAATATACATAAATAAATTGAAAACTTACAACTTGTGAGGAACTATGGTCGAAAATAAAAATATCAAAAAGTTTAGTCTAACTTCCTAAGATGGCGGCAAGAAAAACTAGCTCAAGGCCGTGTGCACAATTTGACCTTTGACATGTGATCTGCGACCTAGCTACAATAAAACCTTAGAAATCAGGCCATATATAAACAAGTAATTTTTAAGACACAAAAATGCAATTAAACAAAAGAAATTGACGATTCTGCCGTAACAGGCGTTTAAAAATCACTAAGTCCAACCAATGCATTACGTGTGAAGTGACAATTTTATATCTCCTCACAAAACATGTTATTGATCGTCATAGTATGATTACTTAACTTGAAGTTTAATTTCAAGGAAGAGTCATAACTGAAGAGAATCTTTCCATAATGAAATTAATTCACCTAAATATATTTTCACTTGTATTGGGAATGGAATTAGCAGTGGTAAACAGTCAAATGTGCACAGATCCAAGGCGATTTGGTGATGTCATTCAAAATGGACAAGAAAGAAAGGGATCCGTGTTTAAAACCATTGATAAGGTTAAACTTGTACAGTGTTGGAAAATTTGTGTACAATATTCTTTGTGTACATCAATTAATTTTATGAACAGTAAATGTGCATTACTGACGGGAGAGAATCTTAAAGTATTGTCTAAAGCTGGGTCTATCACTTCAAAGAAGAAAAATTGGCCGATCGAAAGGATAGCTGGAAACTGTTACAATCACAATTGTCCTAAGAACGCTAGATGTATTGAAAAATCGGAAGGGTTTTCTTGTGAAATAATTGGATGTGTAGATCCTCTTGCTGATAACAGCCTTTTCAGTCATTATGCAGTTTGGATTGAAAATGATTCTATAGCGATACCATGTGACCAACGGGATATGTGTGCGAAACTTTTTACATGTCAAGAGAATGGATTCTGGTCAAAATTTACTTATGTCAAAGGTAAGGAACATTAAAAGAGCCAATGGTTGACTTTCTTTTTTAAGCGACAATACATAAACATTAGCCGACCATGAAATTTTATCGTGCACTACCTGTAGCAAACGGAGAGGGGTCTGTGCAGCGTCTCGGGGTTTCTTTCAATGTACACCATCCGTTCCACACCAGTGACAGGGGGGAACCTGTTGAAAAATATTTCGACCTTGATTGACTCTGGACCTACAGGTTAACTTGCAAGCGTCATCAAGCCTCCATAGTCCCATATTTAAAAACTATCAGCACTAGAATCTGTATATTTCATTGATTTCATGGCGAATAAGGTTTACATAGCAAAACATAATATTTATTTTGTAGACGGAAAATCCCCATCATGCCCGAATGAAAGTAAATGGACGGAATGGTTTGATAGAGATAATCAAGAAGGTACAGGGGACCATGAGACGATTCGCAGTTTGAATAATCAATATCACGGAAGATTGTGCACAAATCCAACATCACTTGATGTACGATTATTAAATGGTTCAAATTATCATGTTGGTGGCAATGTTCTCATCCTGTCACCATCAATTGGCTTTAAATGTATAAACAAATACCAGTCTGATGGAATTTGTAAAGACTATCAAGTTAGATTTTGTTGTAAAGTGCCATACCAAACTTGGTTCCGGACATAGTAAACAAAAGTCAGAACACCAACATAGTTCATCTCCATGTCAAAGGCGTGACTCCAACTACTTTCTGAACTATTTCTAGAATATATCGGATAGTCTGTAAAAAAAACGATAACAATTTTCAATTCAAGATCTCTCGTAAAGTCTCAAAGCTATGATCATAATATGTTGACCTCATATTTTCAGGGATATAAGACATTTCTTCACCAAATTTCAGCTGTATAGGTTGAACCACTTTGGAATTCCAGCCTTTTTAAAATTCCTTGTCCAAAAATATAATGCCGAAAGTGAATACTGAAATTATTTCTCCTTTTTTGAATTAATGCTCAATACAGCTCAAGTTTTCAGCAAATATCACCTGAATTCCATGTTTCCGTGACAAGAAATTGCATTCAGTCTTCAATTCCTCCAGCTCATCTCCATTGTTAAATTGTCAGCTAGAGAAAACTGTAAACCATTTTTGGGGTTGCCATTCATCTTTTGTATGAAATACTCCAATTGTCAAATTCATGGAATACGTCTTTTTTTTTTTTTGGCTGAAATTACAATATTTATTTTCGGCATTATTTTTTTTTGTCAAGGAATTTTAGAAAGGCTGGTATTTCAAAATGGTTCAACCGAAATAGCTGAAATTTGGTGAATAGATTTCTTATATCCAATATACATATTTCCTTGATCCTTTTACTTTAATAAGAAAAGTAAATATACTAATAGATATTGATTGACCATTCAAATAATTCTATGGATTTTGTTTTGGGAAGAACAAGTATGACCCTTCCAAGATACCTACTTTCTCTTTTGCGTTTAGTATACTTTTCAGCTCCTTAATAGGTTTATCAGGAAGGCCCAATATATGTTTGTTGCCTAGACAGCAGTAAAATAATTCCCTTTTATAATCAACGAATTTACCGGATTTAATCATTTTATATGACACACATGTAAATGAATCTACCATGAAATCTTTAAAAATTATTCTTAAATCTCCCAGGCTATTTATTAGAAGGTTATGTTTGTCGAGGAACAATAACAGAACTTGCCAAGCAAGATAACTGGCAGTTTTGTGCTAATTAGTTTAAATTGAAAGATAATCATGAATTGTTGAACATGATAACATGCTAAAAATCGAAAACTTTTCAAGAAACAAAAACAATAATTATTTGATTTAGATTTTCGATAGGTGATGATTTTCATTCATCACCAATTGTTCCTTTTTACTTGATATGTTAAGTTTTTCTAAAGACAAGGCAATTATCTTTCGGTGTGTTTGAATTTTGATAGGATTCAATCTCGGGTGATAAATAACAATAAATACTAAGTTTGTCCAATTCTGTCAAGAATTATGTCTTGTTGATTGTTAACGACCCAGAGCCCCAATGCATTTAAAAGAATAGAGACAATAACCCATAACTCAATTTTTGTTTAAAAATCCATGCCTATAATGTCAGTGCCTGAATTCCTGATAATACTATGTCCATATTTATATCTAATTATGCCTATATTTTTGTTTTTAAAACTATATCTAGGCCTATAAGGTTAACAACTATTACATTCTTTATAAAAATGCATTTCTATATAGATGTAATGAGCACTATTTTAATTGTAAAATAGTTTGTTGTAAATGCCTATTATATTCTGTATAAAACTTTGTGTTGTTAATGCTTATATCCGATATATAAAACTATCTATGCTGATATTGTTAATGCCAAGAAGAAAACTATTTAAATTACAATGTGGACTAATAGTCTAATAGCCCCGTCACACCGGACTGCGATCATTTTCGATCTTACAGCGACATGAAATGTCTTGTCTCATTCAAACGCGAGGGATGAGAAAAATAACAAACTTTAAAGCGCTCGACCCCTAATCGTGATGCTCGAGTACGTGTTCTACCATACTTATACCCAATAAGTATTCATGATCATGTACAAAGCATCTATCCATATCCTCTTTAGAAAATAAACACATTTGTTTGTCAAGACTTCTGATTAGGTAAAATGGGTTTAACTTGAAGGCATATTTAATTTAATAGTTTTTTTTGTTACAGATATCGAACAACAATTCAACAATTCCCGAAACC